CCCCCTCCCCCCCCCTCCTTCCCCCTCCTCCTCCCCCTCCCCCCCCCCCCTTCCCTCTCTCCCCCCCCCCCCTCTCTCCTTCTCCCTCTCCCCCCCCCCCCCCCCCCTCTCCCCCCCTCTCCCCCCCCCTCTCCCTCCCCCCCCTCCCTTCCCCCCCCCCCCCCCCCCCCCCCCCCTCCCCTCTCTCCCTCTCCTCCTCCCCTCCCCCCCCCCCCCTCCCCTCCCTCTCTCCCTCCCCCTTCCTCCTCCCCTCCCCTCCTCCCCCCCCCCTTTCTCCCTCTCCCTCCCTCCCCCCCCCTCTCCCCCCCCCCCTCCCCCCCCCTCCCCCCCCTCCCCCCTCCCCTTCCCCTCTCCTCCCCCCTCCCTCCCCCCCCCCCCCCCCCCCCTTTCCTCTCCCCCCCCCCCCCTCTCCCCCCCCCCCCCCCCCTCCTCCCCCCCCCCCCCCCCCCCCCCCCTTCCCTCCCCCCCCCCCCCCCTCCTCCCCCCCCTCCTCCTCCCCCCCCTCCCCTTCCCCTCCTCCTCCCTCTCTCTCTCTTCCCCCCCCCCTCCCCCCCTCCCCCCCCCCCCTCCCCCCTCCCCTCTCCCCTCCCCCCCCCCTCCCCCCCCCCTTCCCCTCCTCCCCCTCCCCCCCCCCCCTCCCTCTCCCCCCCCCCCCCCCCTCCCCTCCCCCCCCCCCCTTCCTTCCTCCCCTCCCCCTCCCTCCCTCCCTTCCCCTTCTCCCCCCCCCCCCCCCCTCCTTTCCCCTCTCCTCCCCCCCCTCCTCCCCTCCTTTCCCTCCCCCCCCCCCTCCCCCTCCCCCCCTCCCCTCCCCCTCCCCCCTCCCCCCTCTCCCCCCCCCCCCCCCACCCCTCCTCCCCTCCTCCCCCCCTCCTCTCCCCTCCCCCCTTCCTCCTCCCCCCCCCCCCCTCCTTCCCCCCCCCCCTCTTCCCCCCCCCTCTCTTCCTCTCCTCTCCCCCTTCTCCCCCTCTTCCCCTCTCCTCCCCCCCTTCCCCCCTTTTCTCTCTCCCCCCCCCCCCTCCCCTCTCTCCCCCCCCTCCCTCTTTCCCCTTTTCCCTTCCTCCTCTCTCTCCCCCTCCTCCTCTCCTTCCCCTTCCCCTTCTCCTCTTCCTTTCCTTCTCCTTCCCTCTCTTCCCTCTCCTCCCCTCCCTCCTCTCCTCTCTCCCTTTCTCCCTTTTCTCTCCCTCCCCCCCTTCTCCTCTCTCCTCCCTCTCCCCCCCTCCCTCCTCCTCTCTCTCCCTCTTCCCTTCCCCCCCTCTCCCTTCCTCCCTTATTTGCCCTTGGCCAGTGCTACTCTGGAAACATCTGGTAGATCCTCTGTCATTCCTTTGGTCATGGCAGTTCCTCATGTTGACTCTTGCGGAAGACTTCTCATCTACCTTTGATTAGATGTTCACTGGAAGTTGATCTCTAATATGCGATAGTCCTCTAAATTTTATTTAATTTTCACTACCTGGACTGATTGTGGATGTGTCCCAGCTGTATTAGAATTCTACTATCCATCAACTGGGCAATAAAGAAACTTAGATGTCTTACCAGGTAAAAAAAATGTGCATTTATTATTTTTTGTTGCAGGAGCCTGTAAAGCATTTAGTCAGCGATCAGCAGATCGTTGGTGCCATGCAGCTCTCCTGCAGACCTGTCAGTATATCTGCTAGGATGTACGGACAAGCAGATATACTGAAAGGAAGATTCAACTACCTACCAGGCGCTCCACAGCACTGTGATAGTTCATTGAGAACTACAAGGGACTTGTAGTTTCTCATTCACAGAGGACTGTGAATGAGTGATGAGGCCGGGGCGGCCGGTTTTTAAACAATTTTGACAGCTAGCAGGAGGAGAAGATCCCCCGCTAGCTGTCGGAGCAGGGGCCAGTCTATTCATAACATGTTAGGTGTTTGCACCCTGAATATATGGGTGTAACATGTTATGAAAGGTAAAATAGAAGGGAACGGGGTGGTGGCTGGTGCTTCAGCTGATGCTGATCATGATTAGCTGTATGTCATTTATTTATTGCTGTGTCCAGGGTCAGGTAGCATTTATTATAGTTTACAGTCTTGACAATTTTATCTTTCAGATGACTCTGGGATCATTTACTGCCTGTCACGACACGAGTGTGATACTACGGCTGAAAACTCTCCAGAGGGAAGGATTGGCAGCTCTGGCTTACCATGCTGGGCTCAGTGACTCTAATAGGGACTATGTACAGCACAAGTGGATTAATCAGGATGGGTGCCAGGTATGACTAATAGGTGATGGTCTTGCCTACCACAGTTGGAAAGGAGAGACCCCCTGACACTGGGACTTTATGGGCTTAGAAGGTGCTAGAAGTATTAGAAAAATACAAATTTTATTTGTCAAAAAAGGTGATAACACAAAAACATACAAAACAATACGTCATCCAGAGTCATAATAAAGCATCACAATCAGAGATTGAAATTACATGATAATGATACCCAGTATGACTGTGTTGACTGGTCATAAAAGATACAAATTGGTATCATCATAGATGCAGAGATACTAATCTAGTTCCAACGCGTTTCAGAGTGATTCCACTCCTTCCTCGGGAAAAAAGAACTCTGCATAGGGATGACATCATCTACAAGACTAAACATATTTGTTTGGAACATGTCTCATATCCATAACATATAATACATTGTAAACTGTAGATTTACTTGCAGTATATGAAAATAAAAAATGAATAATTGGTTAAAAGGCATTAATTGCTTCAGAAATGTCGCCTCATAAAGCTGGGGGCCAAACGAAGCAGGACAGCAGATCCCCCTACAAAAGGCCTCAAATCACAAGGGCATCCCAGGTCACTGCACATCTCCCCAAGTGGCCTTCACACAGGACGGACCCCTGCAGGACACAGCAACGGTCCACTGATGGGCTTGTTTTATTTCTCAATTTTGTGAGTTTTTACATTGTGGATTATTAGACTTCTTTCACATACTGCACTCAGAGGGCGCCTTTCCTTTGTAAATTGTTGAACTAAACTGTCAACATGCTATGGAACAGCAACATGGCTGATCAATGGAGCCAAAACAAGAAGCAAAAATAAAAAATATACATGTATCAGTAAAGAGGACATATCACTGACTATTGTAACCTCTAGGGATGTTTGCTTTCGTTGTGAGAGCAATAAAACTGGTCAAAAAAAAAGGAACATTGCAAAAATAAAAAAAAAATTATAAAGCGGCCCCATCCTGGCTCGCAAAGGTGACCACACGCGTCCCACGTCGTTATGTTAACAGCAATCACACTACACATGTGAGGTATCACCGCAAACCTCAGATCGAGAGCATTAATGGTAACCTCCCTTGCATGTGTTTGGGTATTCTTTGCAAAGTGAAGCTTTACCTCATTTACTAAGATCTGGAGCAAATGCACTTGCAAAATGCACAGTCTGTTTGCCGTTAGTAAATCAACCCCATTTTTTTTTATGCTGTAAAATTCATTAAAATGTATTTTTCCCCAAAAAATTGCATTTGAAAACATGTAAAAAAAAAAAAAATTGTCAGAAAAGGTCCAGTCTTCCAGTGGTTAATGAATGGCATGCTATTCCTCTGTTGTATTGTATAGGTGATCTGTGCTACAATTGCGTTCGGAATGGGTATCGACAAGCCAGATGTGAGATACGTCATCCACGCTTCCCTGCCTAAATCTGTGGAAGGATATTACCAAGAGTCTGGCAGGGCCGGCCGAGATGGAGAAATGTCCCATTGTCTGCTCTTCTACAGCTACAGTGATGTGACCAGAATCCGAAGGCTGATACAGAGTAAGTCTTTGTTGATGGTTTATATAGAATGATAGTAGCCAGGCATACAGGCAAGGGTTCAGCCATCTGAGGATTTGTTTTTTTTTTTGGGGGGGGGTTTCATTATTAAAGCGGAGCTCCACCCAAAAGGGAAAGTTCCGCTTTAAGTACAGCTCCCCATTAAGGATTGGCACCTTGGGGGGGGGGGGGGGGGAAGCAGGTACCCAAATTTGACAGGTACCCGCTTCCAGTCCGATCGCCTAAGCCAGGTGTAGGCAACCTGAGAGCCGCAGGACTACAAGTTTTCCATCATGCCTCTGCAAGTCATAGCTGTAACTGTCAGTTTTGTAATCTTTGCAATGCCTCATGGGAAATGTAGTTCCACAACAGCTAGAGAGCCACAGGTTGCCTATGTGATGGATTTGGTAAAATGCCTATTCTGTTTCCTGTTTTATATATATATATATATATTATATATATATATATATATATATATATATATATATATATTTACTTTTATACTTTTTCATATTTCTAAATATATGTGTTGTGCGTATATATTTTTGTCTGCTGGGCTTTGCAGTCCTCCTTAACTTGTTTGTTCAGAGCGATGTTCTCAACCCCTCCCTTCGCACTGAGAGGATTTTTACTTAGGCTTTGAGTATGTGAGGGGGAGTGAAAAGGTAAAGGGCGAGAAGCAAGCTTCAAGTTTCTGCACTTCTCCCATATTTCAGCCAAAGCAAAATGTGCCTTTTAGAATGTGACTGTATTTACATAATAGTGACGTATACTCTATTGTTTTCTATCTATAAAAGGTTAAGCACCGCCCTGCAATAAACAGAGATGAGGACGTTGTTATACTGCACAGTTGTCAGTGTGATTATTGTCCGGCCTGCACGTGCACTTCATTTCTCTAAAAATTAGGAACAGCAGCAGAAATCCTACCCTGAGCCCGATTGTGGTTCGCACAACCTTTTTACCTACCCCCGGCCTAGGCGATCGGAAACGGAAGGTGTCCTCCTACCCTCCCTCCCTGTAGTCTTTTGGGACACGTGACAGATCCCAGAAGACTACAGGACCATTCATGAAGCGCAGCGCTACTCGCGCATGCACAGTGGGTACCCGGCTTGGAAGCCGCAAGCTATCACAGCCGGGTGCCCACACTGAAGATGCCGGCCTCCAGGAATACAGGACGGCTGGTGAAACGGGCTGCGGGGGGGACACACCACGGGACCGAGGGACAGGTAAGTGGCTGTTTTTTTAAAAGTCAGCAGCTACAGTTTTTGTAGCTGCTGACTTTTATTTTTTTGATAGGTCGAGTGGAACTTTGCTTTAACAAATGCAAAATCCTAATGCATGTTTTATGAAAAGGTGTAGTCTTTCAGTGAGCAGCATTGTTAGATCCTGCAGTAGCTGGTATGTATTGGATTTGGAAGGTCTTCAACAAATGCCCGCCTCGAGGACTTCTCCAGGGTGTCACCCATCCTCTGAAACTCCCTGCCCCAACCCATCAGATTATCACCTACTCTCCTCTCCTTTAGGCGCACCCTGAAAACCCATCTCTTCAGGGAAGCCTACCCCACCCCCTGCTAACTTGCCGACCTCCTCCACTCTTCCTACCACTCCATCCCCCACAGCTATCTCCTCCTGTACCACCATCCCCTCCCTCCTAGATTGTAAGCTCCAAGGAGCAGGGCCCTCGATCCCCTCATGTTTTGCATTGTATTGGTATTGTTCTGTCACATGTTCTGTCCCCCTTTGTAATGTACAGCGCTGAGTGAACTATTGGCGCTTTATAAATACTGTATAATAATAATGCCCTAAATCACTTTTATTTTGGTGATGAGATTTGCAGAGTGAAGATCTCATATACAATAAACTTTCTTTTCATTTAAAGTGATAGCAAATCTTCAATTTTTTTTTTTTTATATAAAATAACAAACATGTCTTGCTTACCTGCTCTGTGCAGTAGTTTTGCACACAGCTGCCATGATCCTTTTTTTTTCAGGTCTCCCACAGGGCTCCCTCCCCTCAAGCAGTGCCCCAGAGAAAGCCACTTGCCCTGGGAGCACCGCTGTGTGCTCACTCCCGAGCCGCCAATCTATGCACACATAGCCATGGTTTCCCCCCCCCCCTTATTGGTTTTATTGACTGTGATTGACAGCAGCGGGAGCCAATGGGCTCCCTCTTATGTCTCAGCCATTGCGGGAGGGAGAGTCTATCGTGGACATCGCTGGATCGGAGGGGGGTCAGGTAAGGATTAGGAGGCTGCTTCTCACAGAAGGTTTTATACCTTCATGCATAGAATGGGTGAAGGTAACAAAAAACCTTGAGCCTTTAGAGTTCTGTGAATAAACTTATTACAAGTACCATTTGCCATTGCGGAAGACGGCTTGTAGTTCTCAGTGTACTGAGAGGACGCTGGTGAGTGCTCTTGTAGTTCATTGATCTTCCTGGACATCAGTTACTGCCTGCCATTAGGGGAGGTACGGGCAGACAGCTGTACCGACAGTCTGCAGGAGCCTGAAATTTCACCTGCGATCTGCTGATCAGGAGTGCAGTGCTTTACAGGCTTCTAAGGAAAAAAAAATGCTTTTTTTTTGTAAAAAAAAAAGTGCATTTATTGTTTTTTTTAAAAGGTGAACTTCTTTTTAAATACTTTGTTGTGTCACTGCAATTTTTATTTTTAGTGTTATAAGAGATTTACATATGTCAGCCCCTTAGCCAACCGCTTATAGATTGCTAATTAGTGCGGATATAATTTTATATGATAATGTATTGCGGAGTTTGAGCCAGATGGTGGATCTAAAACGATACATAAGTGGCATTTTCTGTGGTTTTTTTGTTAGTGGAGAAAGATGGGAACCATCATACCAAACAGACGCACTTCAACAACCTGTACAGCATGGTGCATTACTGCGAGAATGTCCTGGAATGCCGCCGGATGCAGCTTCTGGCTTACTTTGGAGAGACAACATTTAATCCCAAATTCTGCAAAGAGAATCCCCGAGTGGCATGTGACAACTGTTGCAGGACAACGGTGAGACAACACAATGGCTTTTCTACTATAAATTTGTAATATCTCAGGTACAGGCCAGCTTAACTGCTGGTAGAATATGCAGCTGAGGCTTCATACGTGCCCTTATTTTTATCATTTGCAGTGTAGGTCATGATCATTTAGTAGATCACTCCGCACCGGGAGAAATGGATCACATTGGCCATCTCCTGTATACATATGAAAGATATTTTGGATGCTGTAGGACAGGGGTATTGAATTAAAATTCAAGGAGGTCCGGTCACTAAAATCTTCTTCAAGCCAAGGTCCGAATATAAATGCCCCCATTAGTGTTCCCCCTTACATTAGGTTACCCCTCCAGAGTAATTTATTACATTGGGTGCCACCATCAGACTTCCCCTATAAATCAGTTGCCACTGTTAAAGTACCCCCTTATGTCAGGCTTTCCTGTCAGAGTGCCCCTTAAGTAAGGTGTTCCCATCAGTGCCCCCTTACATTCGTTGTCCCCATTAGAGTGCCCCATTATATAAGGATCCCCCATCACGGTGACACCTTACATAGGGTGTGCCCATCAGCGTGTCCCCTTACATCAGGCATTCCCATCAGAGTGCTCCCTTCCATCCGGCATCTCCCGTCAGTGTGCGCCCCTTCCATCAGGCGTCTCCCGTCAGTGTGCGCCCCTTCCATCCGGCGTCTCCCGTCAGTGTGCGCCCCTTCCATCCGGCATCTCCCGTCAGTGTGCGCCCCCTTCCATCAGGCGTCTCCCATCAGTGTGCGCCCCCTTACACTAGGCGTCTCCTGTCAGTGTGTGCCCCCTTACACCAGGCGTCTTCCGTCAGTGTACGCCCCCTTGCATCAGGCGTCTCCCGTCAGTGTGCGCCCCCTTGCATCAGGCGTCTCCCGTCAGTGTACGCCCCCTTGCATCAGGCGTCTCCCGTCAGTGTGCGCCTCCTTGCATCAGGCGTCTCCCGTCAGTGTGCGCCCCCTTGCACCAGGCGTCTCCCGTCAGTGTGCGCCTCCTTGCATCAGGCGTCTCCCGTCAGTGTGCGCCCCCTTACACCAGGCGTCTCCCGTCAGTGTGCGCCCCCTTACATCAGGCATTTCCTTCAGTGTCCCCTTACATCAGTTGTCCCGATTTAGAGTGCCCCATTATATAAGGATCCCCCATCACGGTGACAACTTACATAGAGTGTGCACATCAGTGTGCCCCCTTGCATCAGGCATTCCCGTCAGTATGCGCCCCTTGGATAAATGCATGCACTAGCTGTATGGATTTGAGCACAGGGATCTCTTGTTTGTTGTATTGTTGGGTCAGTAGCCAGACCTGAACCTTGTAGCTCTCCCCATTGTGTCTTTTCCCCTATGCTAGCATTGTGTCCACAGTAGCATTTGCATAGGCAGGGCAGAGTAGGACCGGCCATAGAGGGATTACTTTGACGCAGTTGGCCGGCTTAAGCATGTATTGCAATATGTGTGACCTAAATATCCCTATTTATTGCATAGTCTGCTTGAAAGGGTATATACCAGTGTGCAGAGGGTCCTTCAGAATATCTTCCCTTACATCAGGTGTCTCCCGTCAGTGTGCGCCCCCTTGCATCAGGCGTCTCCCGTCAGTGTGCGCCCCCTTCCATCAGGCGTCTCCCGTCAGTGTGCGCCCCCTTGCATCAGGCGTCTCCCGTCAGTGTGCGCCCCCTTGCATCAGGCGTCTCCCGTCAGTGTACGCCTCCTTGCATCAGGCGTCTCCCGTCAGTGTGCGCCTCCTTGCATCAGGCGTCTCCCGTCAGTGTGCGCCTCCTTGCATCAGGCGTCTCCCGTCAGTGTGCGCCCCCTTGCACCAGGCGTCTCCCGTCAGTGTGCGCCCCCTTGCAACAGGCGTCTCCCGTCAGTGTGCGGCCCCTTGCATCAGGCGTCTCCCGTCAGTGTGCGGCCCCTTGCATCAGGCGTCTCCCGTCAGTGTGCGCCCCCTTGCATCAGGCGTCTCCCGTCAGTGTGCGCCCCCTTGCATCAGGCGTCTCCCGTCAGTGTGCGCCCCCTTGCATCAGGCGTCTCCCGTCAGTGTGCGCCCCCTTGCATCAGGCGTCTCCCGTCAGTGTGCGCCCCCTTGCATCAGGCGTCTCCCGTCAGTGTGCGCCCCCTTGCATCAGGCATCTCCCGTCAGTGTGCGCCCCCTTGCATCAGGCGTCTCCCGTCAGTATGCGCCCCCTTGCATCAGGCGTCTCCCGTCAGAGTGCCCTGTTGCTGTCACAACGTGAGGAAAGTACTGCCGAGAAGCGGCAATTGTCAGCAAAGGGTTTGGCACTGATCATCAATGCCCTGGTGATCACTGCCCAGCAGTGCCGCCAGTCAGTGCTGCCTATCCATGCCACCTCATCAGTGCCCGACTGTGCTGCCTCATCAACACACATCAGTGAAGGAGAAAAATTACCTGTTTGCAAAATTTTATAATAGAAACAAAGAAAACCTTTTTTTTTTTTTTTTCAAACTTTTTGCTCTTTTTTTGTTTATAGTGCAAAAAATAAAACCGCGGCGAATAAATACCACCAAAATAAAGTTTTATCTGTCTCAAAAAAATGCTAATACATTCATATGGGTACAGTGTCGCATGACCGCGCAATTGTCATTCAAAATGCGACAGCACTGAAAGCTGAAAATTGGCCTGGACAGGAAGGGGGTGACAGTGCCCGGTAGGCGGGAAGGGGGTAGAAGTGCCCGGTAGGCAGGAAGGGGGTAGAAGTGCCCGGTAACCAGGAAGGGGGTAGAAGTGCCCGGTAGGCAGGAAGGGGGTAGAAGTGCCCGGTAGGCAGGAAGGGGGTAGAAGTGTCCGGTGGGCAGGAAGGGGGTAGAAGTGCCCGTGGGCAGGAAGGGGGTAGAAGTGCCCGGTAGGCAGGAAGGGGGTAGAAGTGCCCGGTAGGCAGGAAGGGGGTAGAAGTGCCCGGTGGGCAGGAAGGGGGTAGAAGTGCCCGGTGGGCAGGAAGGGGGTAGAAGTGCCCTGTAGGCAGGAAGGGGGTAGAAGTGCCCGGTAGGCAGGAAGGGGGTAGAAGTGCCCGGTAGGCAGGAAGGGGGTAGAAGTGTCCTGTAGGCAGGAAGGGGGTAGAAGTGCCCGGTGGGCAGGAAGGGGGTAGAAGTGCCCTGTAGGCAGGAAGGGGGTAGAAGTGCCCGGTGGGCAGGAAGGGGGTAGAAGTGCCCGGTGGGCAGGAAGGGGGTAGAAGTGCCCGGTAGGCAGGAAG